AGAAAGACCTACATTTATGTTCCTTTGGACATTTTTGCTTGTCACTCAGTAAGATGTCATTGATTTTTTTAAATAATAGAAGTTTAGAGCAGAGTAGCTTCAAAAGGAGTATGAGAATCACGTCTGGCGCCCTTTCCAAATAACCACTGAATTTTTAAAAGTAAATTATGTGTTTTCCTGCCAAATACGCCACACAGGAAGTGCAAATAAAGCTCCACTTGTATCTTGTTGGTATTCGCTTAGAGAGTTGCAAATCTCGGATCGATAAATAGTGCTCATCTATTGATATGCGTTATCCATTCCGTTTGCGATTTAGCAAAATATCTTTGAAATTAAGTTAAATTTTAACTTCAGATCTCAGTCAGACGATGTCTAACGTAGTTCGAGCAGCTGGGCTAGTAGTTTTTCGACGACTTTCCAATAAAATAGAGTTTTTACTGCTGCAAGCTAGTTATCCTCCTTACCATTGGACACCACCCAAAGGTTTGCTCTGCTGTCATATTATCCACTTCAAAATTCTAAAAGTTTAGGACACGTTGATCCTGGAGAGGATGAATGGGTGGCAGCATTACGCGAGACAAATGAGGAAGCCGGTTTGGTACAAGATCAACTTAAGATATATGAGGACTGTCACGAGACATTATGTTATGAGGTGAACTTACTGTGTTAACTATCAAAATTGATCTTCCATCATGACAATCTAATCAACAAGGATTTTGTGCAGGAGGTTAATTGCATTGTTGTGGATTGTAAGCATGAAAAACACCATAATTTCTGTGAGCCTAAGAAATATAGAAATTTCATCTTGCTCTTAAAGCCCAGATATCCTATTGCAGTCTTTTATGATAAAGCTGCGAATCTTGGGACATACTTATCAGATGAGTTTAAATGGAAGCAGATCAATGTAAATAATTGTATTTCATTCTAATTCACACTTGAGATGATAGATGTGCTCACTGAAAGGAAACATATTTAAGTTTATTTTTTCAGTGATGAGGTTAGGTTTTTATGGATTAGGAATGGTGTGCGTTACACTGTAAGTGCAATAACATCTACTCTATACATGTCAAAAGAGTGTTAGAGGTTATTTGCTAGACGCAAGTTGTTTTGTCAAGTCTCTTGTGCGAAAAAACTGGAATTTTAGAAAGGAAATAATGAGAGGAGAAAAGGATTTACAGCTGTCTGGGGGGAATAGGGATGTGACTTTTTCGAGTTCTTAGAAAAGGTATTGTGAAACTCCTTTATGCGATGTACCCAATGGGGTTGGGGCTTCGAAGAAAACGAAACGATTATAACGGTTTGAGAGGGGAACCGAAAGCAAATTATTGACAATACAGCTAGATTCGGCTCTTAGTCTTTACCGCTGTTAACAGCTGTCTACATCTGTTCGAAACTACAGCTCTAAACATGCAATATTATGTTGGAATAAGAGGACGTTTGTTTAACATTCGTTTGCTATAAAGCTACGACGAATCCGCGGAATCTCTCAGTTTTTCGCCTAGCCCTCTACTCTCTCACACATAGATTAATTTCTTATGGACAGAAGAGTTGCGGTTGAGAAAGTAGACAGTAGCACGTTTCAAG